CGTTACCTCCACCATAAACGACCTCCACCACTGTTCATTCCTCGACCACCACCACGATTCCTGTTCGAAGGCGCCGCTTATGACTTAGCCATGCGATTCCAGCACATGCCGTGGCACGAGGTACAACAACCAGACAGGTACCATCCAGTTGACTAACCGGATGGACGAACGGTGCGCGAAAACAGATCGGTATTTATCTATTGAAAAGTTCTAACTCTGACGTATCGTTCGTCGATTCTTAGATAGAAGTGTCCTGGAACGTTGGATGTATAATTGTCTGTCTGGCCAGAGTGTGTCGTGGACTGAATCGAACAAAGTGCACGTTTGTCTTCTTCCTTGTTACACACCGATCGCGTGTCAACTTTCACAGTTTACCTCTTTCTTCCTTTTACTCTTCGATCGTCATCCCCCGGTTGGTTGACTGGGTATATGAATTGTAACGCGGACGAAGGAAAGGCGAAGTGAAGAAGGTTCAGTGAGGAAGTGCGAAAAGGAACTGGGGTGACAACGTGTGAACACCGGGGCGAGAGACGTTTCTGTGACACGAAGAATAGAGAAAGATCGTGTTTTCTTCCGGAGAACGACCAACCCAAGTTTCATCAAGGACTTAAGGCCACGTTATGAGACGGTTTTAACGAGTCGACGAACGTGTCACGGCTAATACGTTGCATGGTAAGTGGCCATTCATCGTTGATAAGCTTCTGAAAACGTTCCTTCTTTCGACACAATTCTACCAAACTTTTCCACAGTCGGTCTATTTTCACACGAATAAACGTACCACGTGCTGCTCGATCCAGTTTCACGTGACCACGTTACAACCACACTTTCCTACCATTGCGTTTCCCTCCTCGAGGTGGTTTCGGTGATTAACGTAGGTGTTTGACAGTGAGGACAGGGAAAAAGGGAAAAAATCGGTCAGTCGGAGGATCGTTTATCGGAACCAGGACGTGATCAGGAATCAGTGCGATCGTACAGAAGGTAATCTAACCGTGGAGGCAGGAGAAAGCTGGGCTTCCGAGTTTGGCCCGTAGCAAAGGAGGCGATATACATAGAAGATCATTTGGCATGCTCCGCTGCCTCACCGCATCCTTCTTCCCTTTTTTCTCTTTTCTTTCATCGTTCGAAAATGCCACCGTTCCTCCGCCATTTCATCCACGCGTCGTTACCTGTAGACGTATATTTCCCTCCGGTGTTTAAACTGGCAACAGCTTTCCTTCGCGACAGATCTTCGAGGTTCGTTCGGAACTTGATATTATAATTTCAACCTCCTTCCACGTAGAGAAGTTAATCGACTCGGACGAGTTGGTTCGATCATTTGCATTCGAGATAATGTAATACAGGCTCGATTCGTGGAGATAAGTTGGCCGCCACCCGGAGGTCTTATCACCGAAAATCCTCCTCCATCGAGAGAGACCTCTCCTCGACGTGTCTACCTCTTCTTCGTGGAACGTCCACGAACGCCGGGAGAATAAGATTCCTCTCGACATTGACCCCGAGTGGCGTTCTGACACATTGCTACGAGTGGTACTTACACACGCGTGTCTGCAGCTAACAAGTTAGGTATGCCACGGCACCAGGTAGTGGTAAGTTGGTAACGGTTGTCAGCACACAGACGGCTCGTGTCACTCTTTTCAATCCTTCCCCGTTGATTTGTCCGTTTAACGCTTATT